CTTTATAGCAGGTTGTTGATATACTGTGGTGGCATGACTTATACTTTGGTTTTTACCTGAGAGATCAGGGCTTGCTGAGGGGTTAAGGGTTTTTTTTACTTATTTCGTGTCAGATTGAGTGAGCAAATGTTGTTTTACATTACAGTTAGTAATAATAAAGCTGTACCATTTTGGCATGGCATGTAGATAATCAAGTCAGGATAAAACAAATTAGTCATTGTTTATTGAACAACAATCTTCCTATCTTCATCTTCGTCAGCTGGGACTTTTCAGCAGTGTCACATTCATGTAAATTTGTTTGAGTGGTTTCCTGTTTCAGAATTGAAACTCTTGGAATGTTTGCTCATTCATTACAATAGATAATGTTTGCAGTTCATTAGCCTGCAATTGTTCAACAAGAGGAATTTTTTTCCAGGCAGGCATTGCAATGCATCATTCAATGTTTCTTTAAAATATGTGATTTAGAAATGTCAGTCATGAATGCCAATACCTTTGTCGCCTGATTACATATTCATGTCAGAAAATATTCATGGCTAGAATGTTATTTTAGACTGGTTAGATATTCAATAGCTTAGAATGAGGAAGAATAGGCATTGTTTTAAATTCCTTTGTTTACGTATCGGAATGTTTCATCAAACCAGCCATACAAATCTAAAGGAAATGAATGATGTTGAAATAGATGAAAGAATGGTATGTAGATATAACTTTGCGGTAATTATTAATTGTCTGATGGTGAAATATTTTTCCAGCTACTTAATGCTAAAACACCTTGCTTGATATTATAATATTGTACAATTGTAGCAGTTAACAGGAGACTAGAGTCGGGCCAATTGGGCAGTCCCAGCAATTTTGATTTATCAAGCAAGTCCCAAATTGTTTGTCTACTTTGTCCTACTATTCAATGCATATCAATCTTGCTGTTTAGGATTATCCCCTTGCACATGGACAATGTCTCAGTTTTGCACAAGTACAAAGCAAACACATAGACCAAAAATGGACACCAGACGGTGGAGCAATTTGTCACTACAGTATTCATGATTGAATGATTTCCAGCTCAAATCGTCACGAAAAGCTTTAACTCACTCACTCACTCCAGCTCAAAGGAACAAAGGTGGAAGGGGGATAAGGAGTGTGTGCTGTCCACCGTCATGTTTCGTTCCTGGAGCAGAACTAAAAAACTGTGAGAGATATCTTAACCAAACTTGGAACATAGATAGGTCAAGTGGTGAACTGGTGCCTTTTGACATGTTTGATAGTTTGGGATTTTTGAAAAATTTGTTTTTTTTAGTTTCCATAGCAATGATGGTAGTGCTTTTTTCTGGAGGTCTAATTCCTTGCACACAACTGGAAATGTCATATTGGTGGGGGGGGATATGAGCATTTCATGCTTGATTCCATTTCTTCGCCCTTTCTGCATGTATGATTATCATGGTGTTATGCAAATTGTGTGTGTGGTGGGTGCTACCAGTGCAGCAGGACACCTGATGTCTTTACTGATTTTAGTGATCCTGTTTATATAATTTTCACTACTATTTTGTTTTTTATGCCCGATGGAATCTGTTTGGGCATATATCGAGACTGATTATTCTTTGCCCTTGACTATTTATATTTAAAGAACAAGCTGTGAGTATGTATGTTGTAAACCGGCTTCTCTGTATGACCGTTTGATATAATATGAAAATTTAACACAAATTCAGGTGAGCTTCAAAGGGTTGTGGCTTGTTAGTTATAATTACTCTGCCATTTTTGCATTGTGAAATTTATTGAGCAGTACATTTGCATGTAGTGTGTAGGCATATTGTCATATGTTACATCTTTAGCATGTTTTGTTTTCTACCCTGCTATGCCTTTTAACATCCTTGCATCCCAATGGATCTTGTGAAACAGCAGTTTCATCTCTGAGTTGCAAAATATATATATTCGCCAAAGTGGTAAACATCTAAGACTTGCATCACTTCAGGCTTTCCTCCCAAATTAAGCTGACCCACTGTTAAAAGCGGCGTTAAACACGACTCACTCACTCACTCACACACTCACTCACTCACTTGGAATTTGTAAGAATAATGTTGGTGAGCTACAGTGCCTTATGGCTTCATAACCACATGCTCATGATATGGTCGGAATAGTAAATTGGACTATACTTTAAACAGAGATTTCTTAGGATTATGGAAAGGGGTTTGTTGCTTTTATTTTTTATTTGAGATTGAAATTCATATTTGTCACTATTTTCCCAGTACAGTGTCTGACTAAACGCTTAATACTTTCATTAAAACGTGTTTAAAGGGTGTGTATTCATTAGGCATTTGATTCCAATGCAATTGAAATTAAGTGGAACTTGATCTTACAAACCTAATGTGTATTATTATTCTTCAATTGCATTTATGTCAGTGGTGCAAATTATTATATTTACTTTGTGGATCAAAAATAAATACCATATGAAACTTTATTTACCATATTATTTGCATTAACTTAAATTCGGAGTTGTTGGTTTGTAAACAATATTTAAAACAATTTCCTTCTTAGAATTTACTTTGGGCAGTGAACGAAAGTGAGCTAAAGTCTCTTGGATATCTAGACCCGTGAAGATCTGGGGTAGAATAGATCATCAGCAGCCCATGCTTGCCGTAAAAGTCGACTTGCTTGTCATAAGAGTCGACTAATGGGATCAGGTGGTCAGGCTCGCTGACTTGGTCGATTCATGTCATCATATCCCAATTGCGTAGATCGATGCTCATGATGTCAACCACTGGATTCTCTGTTCCAGCCTCGATTATTTACAGACCGCCGTCATATAGCTGGAATAATGCTGAGTGCGGCGTTAAACAACAAACAAAAAAACAAGATATCTCATTAATTTGATTATATTTATTATGTTTTTATGAAGAGTGGGGCCACTGGACTTGGGGACATATATACGTTATCAAAAACTTATCAAAAGTAGATAATAACATTATCAAAGATATAAAACAACCATGCCAGAGAATTTCTAGTCTCAGTTTTATGCCCAAACAGATTTCACTGGGCGCACAAGAAAAGAACAGTGAAAATAATATGTATGGATCACTGAAAATTAGTCATGACACCAGGTGTTCGTGAAAAGGGTAAGCATGTCCTGCCAAACTGGTAGCACCCATCTCTAACACAATTTGCATAAAAATGTAAGTGATTCACACAGCAGTACACTCGTGATGGTGGCCTGCAAACAAATGAGACTTGGCCAGACAATCTTGTGTTTGTTTTCTTCTTGTTTAATGCTGCACAGATCATTATTCCAGCTACATGATGGCGGTCGGTAAATAATTGAATCTGGGACAAACAATCCAGTGACATCTACGCAATTGACATGGATCAACTAAGTCAGCGAGCCTGACCACCCGATCCCGTCAGTGGCCTCTTACGACAAGCATAGTCGCCTTTTATGGAAAGCATGGGTTGCTGAAGACCTGTTCTAAACAGGATCTTCACAGGACCAGACAGTCTGGTGACACAATAGCACATGTTTACTGAATTATTCATGCAGTTGCATTTGTTGAAATCTATTAAGTTTGACCTTGGCATTACAAGTGTAAGACATAAGGATGAATATATAAAGAAATATTGACAAATGATTTCAAAGGGCTATATTTTGCAATATAATGACACAAAGGACTTTCTTGATCGAGACCTATGTCAAGTGTTGATGGTCACCTCCAAGTCTTGATAGCAACAGCTATCTTGTATATTTTGTTTTGACAAATATAAGATTGCTAGATATACCTTCATACATTATTGACACTAATTTCAGGCACATTATTGCCACAAACTGCAGGTACATTTATCACTTGTTTTAGTTACATCAATTACTAATATTGTATTATGAATTATATTTACATCAAAAGATATCATTATAAATTAGCTACAAAATGTATCACACTAAGTTAATCATGTTAATAGTGAAAGACATAATGCTCAGGTTGCAAGAGTGTCTAAATAATATAATATTTATCAAATAGGGTGCTGTTTTCATGAAGACGTCATACCACGAAGGCGATCGTAACTCTTCACACATTGTAACCATGTCGGGAATCAAACCCGGGTCTTCGGCGTGACGAGCGAATGCTTTAACCACTAGGCTACCCGACCACCCCCCTGGATCAGAATTTGTCTTTGCCACGTTACATATGATAACTAATCTTGACCATATGTTTACACTTAGTTGTTTATTTTTTTATAGTTATATACTTACATGTTTTTCAATTCATATCATAATTATCTCATTTTCTACATCTTGAGTCTTCAATGTTACAGAAATTCTGTAAGTCACATTTAGAATAGAACATGGCAAGTGTACACCAAAATATCAATTTCAAAGCCTTCATGGTTCAGTGTCATACTTACTAACGATTAAACTTCTGATAAATGGTCTCATAAATATATAAGTAATTTATATACCCTGAATAAACCTAGTTGTTCAACATTTCAAGATGGCTGCTGTGTGACCTGCTCAATGACTTCAATGTAATCAACTGAGACAAATATACAATATTCAGCTATATCCTACAACACTAAGCAAGCATATCAAATCATCATAAATGACAAAACAGCTCATAAGATACATATTTAATCAACAGAATATGCTAGCAACTCACAACTGGTCCCGGCTGACGCCATTACAATACATAAGGATGTCTTGCCACCACACATTTAGCAGTGAACCACAGGTTTCCATTTGAGCTTGCAACCAGCCTTTATATACTGGGGCCTACAATCAATAGCTCTGGCAGGCTGCCAGCCTTGTTGAATTATGCGTGCTCAGTCATAGGAGAGTGCAACATGCTAGCTGATATGTGATAGTCCATTCGGGTAGCAGGGAGCTCGGGTGGAATAAACAAGCTTTAGGCTGTCAATCATGCCTAGAATCCATGTGACCAATCAGCTTAGACGACGTGTGTACTATCCTGGGCTGTGATAGAATTAAGCTTATCTTATGTCCAACACCGTGAGCTATTGTGAAGGCACATAACACAATTGTTGATAAGAGATAGTGAGGCTAAATATATCTTTACCAAAGGTCTAACAAAGGTTCAAGTCATTGGGACATAATTTTAGTGGGAGGAGCGTGTTATGGATCTTCACCCTTGACCATGATGGTGTATGTGTAAAACTACATGTTTGACAAACGACACAGTGTGTGAAAGAGAAAACATCACATGTGGTAGGTGTGACATTACTTCATCTGATGCAATGCACTGCGGACATCGACATGCATGAGCGGTGTCATGTTTCAACTCATTCATTTCAGGCGAACACAGAATTGGTCCGAGTGTAAGGGACTTGTGTGGTGATTTCACCTGGAGGGGATATACAGCTCATCACCATCAGCTGGCCATCGTCAACAGGATAATAACACCATTTGTCACTGCACAAACCACACTCATGGGTGATTGGCGGAAGTGAAAGGAAGTCCATTGCTTTAGATCGTCAATTGCAGATATCATCCGCTCTAACTGGGTCATCCAAAGTCCCTGCTGGGCTCGTAGTAAACAATTGTAAGTAATGATCTCGTGGATTCACCAACTATTTTATGACGTGTATTAAATGATGTTTTGTTAACAGACTGGTGATAATGGTGGCAGTGTGGAGTGTAAGTAACAGTGACATTCATTGCTTTTAATTCATTAGCCTTGTACTTGGCTTGTGTATTTCATAGCTGTCCTATCATCTAACCTACAAGTATGTAATTACTGTGAATTGTCTCTGTCATTATATTTATCGTTGATGAATGTGCAGTTATATAAATATCACCATTACACAGTTGTGGGTATAATCAAGGTTTATTTAAATCTAAAAATAACTGATGTTGAAAACAAATTATTTACTTTGACATGTTTTGTTAGTTGATATATTATCTTAATTATATTCCCATCAATCAGCTGTCAAATCAGTGCAACCTATGACTGAGCATATTTATTTTTATAATAGATTTGGAATATTTCAATGACTATACTAACAGCGATTCGTATTCGATGATGGATGAGTCTCCCTTATATCCGTTGTTAGGCAAATGATGTGTTTGCACTGGACATGTCTTGTTGATTTCCTTAATGGTAGCATTGAAATTGTGTTACAAGCTGCTTGTGAATGCATTGTGGTTTTATTACGTAAATATGATGGTGATGATTTTGATGTTTACAGCAAATAACAAAGATCTGAGGTAACCTACTGACACTGCAAATTACAAGTAAGTAATTAAATCATATTTTTGACAACATTGGTCCATTTTGTATTTATTCCTATGTAGGTTTTATTTATACATTTCACTGGTTCATTTTGACACAGCCAATGTTTTGAGGCCAGAGCTGTTTTATGAGGAAGTAATTCAGGAGGATAGCTGCATAAATTGAACATAGTACAGTGTCTTTCATTACCGGAGTCCAACAAAATACTCCAAGTTTAAATACTTTGTCAGTACAAATAACTAGGGATGGGTATTGGGGGTTTAAAGTGTATCACAATATTTTGCAATGCACAAGGCCGTATTGCGGTATATATCATAATATATTGTATAATTCTAAATTTTTAATTCAGAAGCAATCTGATACATTAAGGTATGAACTGAGGTTCTTAAATGGAACAAAACAAGATTCTTGTACTACATAATGTTTACTCATTCAATAAATACGCAGCCATCTTGTGGCCCCAGATGTGATCGCTCCTGGGCTGCAAAGGCATTTGGCAGGTATATAACATTAAACACATGATGATAAAAATCCCAGTATGAAATCACCTGATATATCGAGCACGAAAAAGCAATAGTGTGATGCGTATCATGGAAGGAATAAACCTCAGTTTACTGATATACCAGTAATACCTCGCACCCTTACAAATATAGGACTTGTTTTGCCATGTAACTGTGACAAATATGAAATCAAGAGCCAGTGTGTAACAGCAAGTAAAACCCTTTATTCCATCACAGTAGTCTGATGACAAACAGGCATTTAGTAATTTGACCCTATACAGATGACACCTAATTTCAGCATGACAACTGAATTTTACTTTCAAAACAGTATTTGATCTTAGACATCCAAATTGCAAGCTGTTACAAAACAGTTGATGTTAGATTGATATGGAAATGATCACTGATGATTTAATACTAGATCTGATTATAATCTATTACAACATATTTTTCAAACTCATCCAAAACAAATTGATGTATGGGTTAAAACAGTCACAAAACTGATTAATTGATGTATCATATATGACTATAAAAATAAAATATGAATCATACATTTATATAATTTACAAATGATATTGATAGCTCACAGAGAAATCAACTATTTTTTTTATTCAGCTTTCACCTAGTTTAACAAGTAACAGTATCCTGATGAATGTGTTACTGTGTGTCATAGTGTGTAGAGCGAGCCTGTCTATTTTTAGATTTCTAAAGTTATGAATTTTCAACAAGTCAGGTTGATAATCATGATAATGCATTCAACAGCTGTAAGTGACCCATTTCCTTGAGTTAGCTTTATCAGTAACACAAGCAGTATGAAGTAACAGAACGAGAGGTCATGCATTGCACAAACATGGCCTTAGTGTTGCATGACAACATAAAACTCTACCTTGTATAAGGCCCATCCTCAAGATACAGAGTTCATATCTATGTACACATGAATGTGATAAAGAAAATAAATAAAAATAATGCAGACGAACAAACATTTCTATAATCATAAGAAATATATACTGAAAGCAGAGTCCATTGTACTATTCTGAGTTCATCATAAGCATGTGTTGTATATACTGATTATAATTTATATATATACTGCAAAACCCTGTCCATAGTGACAACAAATGTCTACTCAAAGCAGAGTCCATTGTACTATTCTGAGTTCATCATAAGCATGTGTTGTATATACTGATTATAATTTATATATATACTGCAAAACCCTGTCCATAGTGACAACAAATGTCTACTCAAAGCAGTGTCCACTGTATGTTTCTGAGTATATGATAAGCAAATGTTCATGAATCACTTTCAAATAGTAATGTGTGTGCGAAAAGGTGAGTGTAGCCTGCCCATACTGTACAGCACATGCCCCATCCTGTACAGCACATGCCCCATCTTTTACATGCCCAATCCTATACAACACTTGCCCCATCCTGTACATGCCCCATCCTGTACAGCACATGCCCCATCCTGTACAGCACATGCCCCATCCTGTACAACACATGCCCCATCCTGTACATGCCCCATCCTGTTCAACACATGCCCCATCCTGTACATGCCCCATCCTGTACAGCACATGCCCCATCCTGTACAACACATGCCCAATCTTGTACAACACATGCCCCATCCTGTACATGCCCCATCCTGTTCAACACATGCCCCATCCTATACAACTCATGTCCAAACCTGGACAGCACATGCCCCATCCTGTACATGCCCAATCCTGTGCAGCATATGCCCCATCCTGAACAGCATATGCCCCATCCTGTACAGCACATGCCCCATCCTGTACAGCATATGCCCCATCCTATACAACTCATGTCCAAACCTGGACAGCACATGCCCCATCCTGTACAGCATATGCCCCATCCTGTACAGCATATGCCCCATCCTGTACAGCACATGCCCCATCCTGTACAGCACATGCCCCATCCTGGACAGCACATGCCCCATCCTATACAGCATATGCCCCATCCTGTACAGCATATGCCCCATCCTGTACAGCACATGCCCCATCCTGTACAGCACATGCCCCATCCTGTACATGCCCCATCCTGTACATGCCCCATCCTGGACAGCACATGCCCCATCCTATACAGCATATGCCCCATCCTGTACAGCACATGCCCCATCCTGTACAGCACATGCCCCATCCTGTACAGCACATGCCCTATCCTGTACATGCCCCATCCTGTACAGCACATACCCCATCCTGTACAGCACATGCCCCATCCTGTACAGCACATGCCCAATCCTGTACAGCATATGCCCCATCCTCTACAGCACATACCCCATCCTGTACAGCACATGCCCTATCCTGTACAGCACATGCCCCATCCTGTACAGCACATGCCCCATCCTGTACAGCACATGCCCAATCCTGTACAGCATATGCCCCATCCTGTACAGCACATGCCCCATCCTGTACAGCACATGCCCCATCCTGTTCAGCACATGCCCCATCCTGTACAGCACATGCCCCATCCTGTACAGCACATGCCCCATCCTTTACATGCCCCATCATGTACAATACTTGCCCCATCCTGTACAGCACATGTCCCATCCTGTACAGCACATGCCCCATCCTGTACAGCACATGCCCCATCCTGTAGAGCACATGCCCAATCCTGTACATGCCCCACCCTGTACAACACATACCCCACCCTGTACAACACATGCCCCATCCCATACAACTCATGTCCCCTCCTGTACATGCCCCATCCTGTACAACACATGCCCCATCCTGTACATGCCCCCTCCTGTACAACACATGCCCCATCCTTTACATGCCCCATCATGTACAATACTTGCCCCATCCTGTACAGCATATGCCCCATCATGTACAATACTTGCCCCATCCTGTACAGCACATGCCCCATCCTGTACAGCACATGCCCAATCCTGTACAACACATGCCCCATCATGTACAACACATGCCCCACCCTGTACAGCACATACCCCATCCTGTACAGCATATGCCCCATCCTGTACATGCCCCATCCTGTTCAACACATGCCCCATCCTATACAACTCATGTCCCATCCTGTACATGCCCCGACCTGTACATGCCCCATCCTGTACATGCCCCATTCTGAACAACACATGCCCCATCATGTACAACACATGCCCCATCCTATACAACTTATGTCCCATCCTGTACATGCCCCATCCTGTTCAACACATGCCCCATCCTATACAACACATGCCCCATCCTGTAAAGCACATGCCCCATCCTGTACAGCACATGCCCCACCCTGTAAAGCACACAAAACAAACATTTCGTCAGTATAGTAACAATGCATTTAGTCCACTGTACATGTTGAATGATTCATATACATTTCTACTGCAGAATGAATTTGTTCTTTTTTGGTTGCAAATTATCAAACAGTAAATTTACTTATTATTGATATTTTGTTGTTCAAGATGTGGTCAAGCTGGACTAAAACTATGACTATTGCTATCTTACGTGTTTGTTTGTGTACCATCAACACAAAGACACCACAATCCATGAACTAATAATTGCTAACAATGAATTCAACAGATGTGGTCATTGTGACTCTTTTGTTATGAGATGAAACACACACCAAATATTATTCTATTGGTTACTATCACAACAAAGAATGTTGATAAATGATTGAAATTGTTGTAGGAAGTAGGAAACATTTTGCTATCACAATCCAATATTCTGCAGTATCAAAGCAGCTGTGTATGGATGGTGGCAGATAAATGGCATGAATGTTGTCAGTTGATATCAGTTCAATGTTTTTGTGATATCTTGAAGTATATCATTGTACATTATTGTTGCCTTGCAATTTTAAAAAAAACTTGATGCAGAAAAAAATACAAGCTTTTCACAACCATGAAGATGGCGTCACTCTGTGCTGAAAATGGTAAATCAGTGATTTGACACCAAAAGCTGTATATTGGTCAATGTCTTGGACCCAAGAAATGTAATAAGTCAATGGTAAAAGTCAGTAAGTCATGTAAACAAAAATGGCAGAAAAAACATAACAACAAATCAATGCAATACCGTTTGTGATTTGATGAATATACATGATCTGGCCAATGAATGTCGTAAAAAGAAAAGTGCTTGACTAAGTCACTATGGCTCCTGGGAGCATTTCCCTATAATACAGAAAGTATGATGCAAAGACACACTCTACTCAGAATTTAGAGTATGATTTTTGATGGCTGTGCATTGTTTTATTACATTAACACTGTAAACTTCTATGACTAATCCTTACAATTTACTTTATATTTATGAAATTATGAAACATGTGATGCCTTGCTTAGCATTTCTGTCGGGCAAAAGTCCAACTACTTAAACAACCATAAGTCAAATTTAAAATTTGTCTGTCTGTGACCGGTGACTGACTACCCTCTGAAACTCTGTAAATGCAGGACCTTTAATCACATTCATACTCCATGTATAATAATTTCAGAGTATTAAAATTGAAAAAGGGCATCATTTGACAATAGGTTCTACAGATGGATCATATTAATTTGAATGCTTGGATTTTGTTTAGATCAGAACTAAAGGTTATTAAGGTCAGAATATTAAAGAATGGCCGAAAAGATTAGTATTTGATAGTGATTCAAAAACACATGCTCATCAGAATTGTACAGTCGACTGTTGTTAGCAGACATTTCTTATGAATATGGAAAGGGTTTTGTCGCTTTTATTTACCCATAATGTAGGTAAAATGTATCATTTGTTTGAACAAACGATATCTTTTCATTGTGGAGGTCAAGGACACAAAGGAAGAACAAAAACAAAGACCACATTTGTGTCCCTTTATTATTAAGAAACACTGTTATTGATGTACACATGACTAGACAAATGCTTAAAGATACAATCATGACATTTGTGTTGTGATATTATCAGTAGAAGGGCTTTGCATTGTCATCAATATTATTTGCAGGTGAGTGAATGAGTGAGTGAGTTAATGCTTTACGTCACGTCGGCAATTTTTCAGCCATATCGTGACGAGGGTGAGTGAATGAATAGTGATCAAGGTCGCTGTGAGCAATATTCCAGCTCTATGAGTAAATAATCACCTTTCACTGATCAATTACCAGTTACTGATAGCACGACCAAAGATCCATGCCATCAGAGAATTTTGCATCCCATCCATCCACTTTAATTAGATTTTGTGATATACATTGGATACTGGGGACCTGTTCTTCATTGTTAGCCCAAGGGGAATATTATTACGTTTAAATTGTTCTCACTATAATCCATTGTGTTAGGTAGACTATCTACCGGGTAACCCTAAGTACTGCTGTCCATATCTTACAGCCATTCTGACCACAGAATCCACATTTTGTCATTTGTCTTGTATGGTAAGCATAACCCTGCATATTCTATTGAGGATTCAACACAGGCATGCATCAATATGACACCTTGTTTATGCAAGAACACCATCATTTAGCATTAAGCAATGGTCTTGTAGACAAAGACATGGTGATCGCTTCTATATTTGAGAGGGGGCACGGGTGGCCCAGTCGTCTAAGGCGTCGCGATTCGCTGTGCAGAGTTGCGTCCCTTGGGCATGCCAGAAACCTATGATTGTGGGTTCGAATCCCGGTTCGCCCCGATTATGTTTCTAGGTTTGTCAGCACCATACCCGTGCTCGTGGGTTTCACCGAAGTGGTAAACGTCTGAGACCTGCATCACTTCGGGCTTTCCTCCCACATTAAGCTGACACGCCGTGATATAACTGGAATAATGTTAAAAGCGGCGTTAAACCAAACTCACTCACTCACTATATTTGAGAGAAAGGAGCTGATTCATCCAACGAAGCCAACAGCAGCATCAGAAGAATTTATTTATGGTCTCATGTTACTTTCTACTTATGTACTGAGCAAACAATATGTTTGCCAGATTGATCACTGTTCATGCTACATCTCCTGAAAAAAAATTGTGTTGTGCAAATAAAAGAATTGTTTCGCTCTTTTTTTCAGAGAAGAAAAATGTATATCTTGAAGCAGTGGCAAGAAAAATATAAATAACAGCGACAAAACCCTTTTCATATTAATAAGAAATGACTGCCAAAAACAGAGTTGAATTTACGATTCCAACTTTATCATGGGCATATGTTTATGAATCACTGTCAAGGGTGATGATACCAGGTGTTTGCGAAAAGGTGAGCGTATCCTGCTCCCTCGTGGTACTCATACAACACATGCAAAGGCAAGTCATTTGTTCACCTGAAAAAGTCAAAATAGGGAATTCAGTTTCCCCTTCACCCCCCTAAATGTTAAATGGTCGCTCCCTTGGTCGAGCTACTAAATGTTCACATGTTTGCACACATGCAGATAGGTTTCTATTTCCTTCTTTGACACATCATGTGAAACACATTGTTTGTGTCCCATATGTTGTGATACAGATGAATCATTCTGCTAGTCACACTCCAGTCAACTGCATGCTCATGTGGAAAAACAAGTAATATTTGCAATTTCTGCTTTTTTTATTGTATATAAATGAAAAATGTCCGAGCAAGAGGATGATCAGTCTGGATTGTCACCTGAAACAGATTCCATTGTGCTAAAGGCAAACTAGCTTTGAGAATGACATGAATATATCCCTGAAGATCATTGATGACAGCAGGACTTTGAGAAAAGTGCATGCATGTCCTGTCCTACTGGTTACACCAGCCACTCACACAATTTCATGAAAAAGTAAGTGTTTGTTTGTTGCCTGACACCAATTTATTATTGACAAAACACCTTCACAATAGTTTTTTTTATATTATGTCCAGAGAAAAAGGACAAAGATATGTTTATGGTATGTAGCGGCCATAAAATTTCCAAGTCCCATGATGGGATTCGAACCACGGACCTTCTGAGCAGAGGTCGGATGCCTTGTCCACATGACCAAAGAGGTTAACCCCGTCAGCAAGCTGACAAGGTAAGGATGTCATCTGTGGGATGACTCCACGCCCTGCTACATACTCCCCCGTCAACAGAAGGCATGTCCCGAGGCGCATAGTAGGGTACTGAGGCTTATTTTGCTCAAATTTAATATGAACGTGCTCAGCCCCACGTTGGGCGCCAATGTAGAGGCCATGAAATTTCCGAGTCCCGTGATGGGATTCGAACCACGGACCTTCTGAGCAGAGTACGGACCCCTTGTCCACATGACCAAAGAGGTTAACCCCGTCAGCAAGCTGACAAGGTAAGGATGTCATCTGTGGGATGACTCCACGCCCTGCTACAGGTAGATTTAAATGAAGTGGCAGTATGTGCTGCAAGCTGATTGGTTGAAAATGGTTGAGTCATAGAGTGGTTCTTTGATTGTATGAATGCCTTTTTTGTAAAGTATCATCTCCCAAATTTGATAAATATTGCATGTTGACATGGCAACATGAATGTGACATCAATTATGTATTGCATTTGATAAATATTTATCGGAATAACTTCAAGTTAGAAACTGGTCATTATTATAGTGGGTGAACGGAGTTTACTTCTCCCTGTTTAGTACATAAACTAGCCAGACTTGACCTTCATTGCCTGTAATAGTACCAAACAGTTCAGCTGGAAATGATGTTACTATGATATACTTGTTTCGTGAACTATGCATAACCATCATAGAGAATCATTTTTCACAAAGTTCCATTAGAAATCCATTTCATGATATATAACTAATACATGATATAATATATTAGAACGTGAACACTGCAACACCATCAGTGTTATAGTCAGTTATAAAAAACATACATCCTCAACTATCTGGTCTATCAAATATGCCACAAAATTCAGCATGATGAAACAATAATCGATATTTTTGTCCTACATGTCATTTGTCCTTATGCCACAAAATTAAGCATGGAGCAGAAAATACCACTCAATATTGATATGATCTATGTCAGTTGATGAGCATATGCATCACCATTTGGCCTATCAAATAAGCCACAAAATTCAACATGGAGCAACAAGAATCAATATTTTTGTTGTATATGTCTATGAAATATGTCCCCAAATACAGAATTTGTATATCTGAATATTGTAATGTCCATTCAGATGTCAAGTTGGGACTCGATGAAACAGATTATTGAGTTGACTCTGCTGGATGGTCTTTGCTCTGTGTATTGTTTATGATTAATGGCCCAAAGATGAATATGGTTAATGCCCAGTGTGACACATGTAATGATTTATTTTATTATTGGGCATTGTTACTAATCTTAAACTAATCTTACATTAGAACATATGGTTATTACGAACGTGGATATATATCGTTCTATCGGTCATAAGAAACTATTTCAAAAGCCCCAACTGCATTTCTGTATATT